GATTCTGTTCATCTGGACATAACCTTTTCAGTGGGAGAAACGTTTCGTCACTCATCCAAGTGACTTCTTCAGTCTCAGCTGACTGCAGGATTCCCCAATCTTATAAACAGTACATTTGCACAGAAACTGAAACCAGCCCGCTGAATGAACAATGGGCTGTGAGGTCAGGGTTGGGGGCCATAAGCTTTGTCCCAGAACACGGAGCAAAAGAAACGAAGAGAGAAGGAAGTAAGTAACCCAGACAGATCCAGAACTCCAGCACAGAGGTCAGAGGTCACAGACAGAGTCCTTTTCAGGTTACCAAAGTAAATCCAGGTAACTCATCTAATGGTGAAAGTAATGTTTCAGGCAGGGGTTCTCATCTGTGAATAAAAATGCATTTTACTTGAAACAAGAAAAGAAAATTGTATTATTATTTTATATTCACAATATCCCCCAGATCACTGTGAAAGTTAGTAATAAACAAAAATGGCTGAAATACTGTTGAATTGTATCTGTATTTGTTATATTTACAACTTACAACTGCTACTTCAAAATATATATATGCACTGAATCATAATGCAGGTAAAATTTACGTCATTCTGGAGCTTTGTTTGAGGAAATGTTCTCTTACTAGACCTCCCTAAATTTTAATTGAATACTCCTGCTGTGAACAGTGTGTTTTGCAAGACCACGATGAAATGTGTGAATGTATGAAACGCTGAAACAGCACTTTTGTGTCTTTTTTGTCATAATGCACGTCCCTAATAACTACACACACACACACACACACAACTCACAAACTACAACATATCGTCAAACTATTGTTATGCAACACTGTGATAATGAAAAAGGATGAAATTAAAGAAGGCTGCAAGTCATTCCCTGTGTTATCTGGGATTTGCAGCGCAGTTTGGGACGAGTGGTTCCTTCACAGTTAAAAGTAATTATGGACACAGACTCCTTGTTTTACAGTCAGTCGCTCTATTTTGGGTCATGCTCTAAAAAACTCAAAGATTATTTTGTAAATTTGGCTCATTCTAAGTGTGAGAAAAGAGAATTATCCAGGATATCCAAGCACTTTGTGGCTTTATATTTATCATTTGTGGCCGTTACTCTTTTAAAATGTTGCTCTAAATATCTCTAAAATGGACAAAAATGCAGGTTTTAAAAACCAAAATAAGTCTACAACACACAGATTTGTGAGAAAACAAAAAGCCACTATTAATGGTTCAACACACGATTTAATGCATCCTCAATATGTTGAATGAATAATGAAATTAAATCAGAAAATAAAGCATAAAGCAATAAAGGTTATTATTTTTAGGAGCTACGTCTGTGTACTCTGATGGCCATATGTAAATCCTTTTTGGTTAGTCTCATTACTTAGATTAAGTTTATATCAGTTTATATGAACACACAAAATAATCTTGCATAAACTGGCAAAGTCGCGTTCTCCCTCACACTGACTGACGCTGGAGGATTTTTCAGGCTGAGCAGATTTCTGAGGGCTGTTTGTTGTTTTTGGACAGATGTACAATCTGCTTTTAATGGATAATCTGTGAAAACATTCAGCGCTGCCTCACACACACACACCCACGCGTGCACGCACACACACACACAGAGTAAAATCCATCTGCTATGCCTGTAAGCCCGCTAACTCCTCGACAAAGCTGATCCTTCTGCACTTTTGCACTTCTTAAACAGAGTCTGAATCACAGACGCAAGGGTCACCACCAATGTTCCCTCTAAGTTTTCATGCGTCTGAGCAAACACACAAACTCCCTGAGCGGTCCTTTAGACGTGTGAGGTCACGCCAGCATCGAGTTACATGGTTTATTAAAATAATCAAATTACAGCATTTACATTTATGTTAGACTACTTTTAATTAAGTGCTTTAGCCCACTTACAATTAAAATTTTAAAAAATCTTGTTCATGACTTGTGTAGTATGTTAACACTATTGGAAGTAAAAATAACTTGAACTCCAATTTTTAAAACACAACTTTCTTTTATGTATATATAAAGCTCTGACTTGTATTATGAGTCTGTGGTCTGGGAGAGAGTCCTGTAACTCTCTGTCTGCAAAATACAGTATATAATGACCAATGTTGGGCAATTAATTATATAGTTACTTCTAGAGCAGAGCGATATGGCCAAAAATATTTATCACGATATATATTTGAAAATTTGCGATAACGATATAACTGACGATATAATTGATGCGAGACAAAATACAACTCCACAACTTTACCAGTGCAAAAAAACCCATCCATTTATTTTCACTTAAACAAGCAGCTGGTTTTTTTATGTGCATTACAGTGATATAAAAACGTAACAGTGCAAATGCAAATTCCTTGCTGAAGGTTTAACCAAAAGGCATTTCCAGTAGAAATGGGCTGACATATCCTGAGCATAACCATGTATGATATCCACTGAAGTTAAAAAGAGCACCACCAACCACGATCACTGACACCCTTACAAACACCATTGCCTTCATAATCAAGCATTGAGCCTCGCTCTGTTGTATAAACTCTTCAGGCTCAAAGTGGTTGAATTATTAACTGCAGGCAGCTCCTAAGTTACTCTCTGTGAGGACCCAAATATAAACTCCTTAAACAAGAACAGGATATGTTTCTGTGTCCTTGCTACAGAGTTCCTGCACAGCTTCAACCTCCTAAGACCTGAACTCTTCCATGGCATGCATTTTTAATTTCTCTTTGATATTTGGGCATATTGGGACCCGATGAATGTAAAAACAAGGAATCACCAGATTTTTTTTTAACCCGATTTGTACATTTGTTTTAAATTTTGATAAAACAGAGGCCGTATAATGTCCTCGTAAATGGATATCAGACCCTTGTGGAGCAAAATTTAGTATTTTGATCTAGTCAATCCAAAATGTGATGGCCACATATGTGGATGCCAGGTCCTGGGAGGTTAAAACGGCAAAAGTGATGCTTTTAAGTCACAATTTTAAAGGTAATAGCTAAAAGTTAGAACTTAGCTGTATTGTTTTAAGCTGCCAGAGAAGCCAAATTACATTTTTGAAAATCACTTCAACAAGGTGCTGGAAACATTCCTCAGTCTGGTCTATATAGACATGATAGCATCACACAGTTGTTGCAGATTTGTTGGCTTCACATCACAAAGGTGCTATCTGGACTCAGATCTGGTGACTGCGGAGCCCATTTGAGTACAGTGAACTCATTGTCATGTTAAAGAAACCAGTTTGAGATGATCTGAGCTTTGTGACATGGTGTGTTATCTTGCTGGAAGCAGCCATCAGAAGATGGTACACTGTGGTACAATACTCAGGTAGGCTGTGGTGTTTAAATGACGTCAATTAGTACTAAGGGACCCAACGTCTGTTTTGTTCAGTTTTGGTGAACCTGTGTGAACTGTAGCCTCAGTTTCCTGTTCTTAGCTGACACGAGTGGCAACCGATGCGGTCTTCTGCTACTGTTGAGATGCTCTTCTGTATACCTTGGTTTTGACAAGTGTTGATTAAGTTTCCTTCCTATCAGCTCACAGCAGTCTGACCATTCCCCTTTGACCTCTGACATCACCGAGGCATTTTCAACCAGAGAACTGTGGCTCTTTTTCACACCATTCGCTGTACACTCTAGAGATGGTTGTGTGGGAAAATTCCACTACATCAGCAGTTTGTGAAATACTCAGACCAACAACAACAACAGCATGTTAAAATTTACTTAAATCACCTTTCTTTATTATTCTGATATTCGGTTTGAACTTCAGCAGGTGGTCTTGATCACGTTGCTAAATCCACTAAGTTGCTGCCATGTGATTGGCTGATTAACGAGTAGCTGAACAGGTGGACTGAAAAAAGTGTCTGGTGAGTGTATATATTGCATCTGGTCAGATCTAGTCTGCACTGTTTGGCAAAGTGTGGGTTGTAATGGAGGAAGCAGGATTTTATTTAACCAATGACAGAGTCCCAAAGAGGACAGAAAGGCAAGCAGCAAAGTCTGCACTCAAAACATGGAAACTACATGGGAACCCCCCCCCCCCAAAAAAAAAAACCCTCGTCTCCTCTGTCCTCCTGCCTGTGACCTGGACATTAGTCTTACTACAACACACTAAAATGCAACTGAAGGACAAAGGAGAGAGGAGGCCACAGGAGGAACTGTAATCACCCAACTTAGTCCCAGCTACCTTGCATCAGAGCCTCACTTATATAAAATTTGGTTCCGCTACATCATAAACAGCTGTGTTAAAGTGACTGATCTTCCATCTGATGAATCATTTCTTTGCCTTACAACAGTAAAAACCTTCCTGACTCTCCCGCCTGCTCTGGCCCGCAGACCGCCTCTCTGACCTCCTTTCTGTGTACTTAAAACCCTCTCGGCCTCATCTCTGTCTGCATGCTTTCTGCCTCAGTGTCTGCAGGTTCTTTGTGAGGTGTGAAAAGCTACTTCAGGAGGCGAGGAAGGAAAAGGGCAAAGCTGACACTTGCCACCTTCTCTTTCTTTCTGCATCTATCTCAAGTTCAAGATGCATCTTTTGTACTTTTTTAAGTCGAGATCACTTCACCCTGCAAAGATGCAGTCAACTTCCTGTGAGGAGCTACTGGCAGCTACAGCAGAGATGCTCTTTTATGGCAAAAACCATAATAAGCGTAAGCACATGTATTCAACATGATTATTCAATAACCTGACAAACACCACACAGTGATTGAATTCTTTAAAAAGTATGGTTTTTATATTGGACTTCCTTGAACTTAAAATATAATAGAAACGATAAATAAATGAAAAAATAAAATTGGAAAAAGAGGTGGTTGTGAAGGAAACAGGACTTAGGCCTAAACTAGATGATGTCTTGGACCACAAAGAAATCCCACAGCTGACTTTCTGGACTTATAAATCATGCACACCCCTTGCTTTTGTTCATGTTCCGCCGTTTAGTCCACCTTGAGCAAAGGTAACTTAAAGACAGCCCTTGGTCAACGGGTAAAAGTAAAGCTCAGTGTTCCTAAAGGTGAGCCTGTGCAGTGTTTCCTACCTGAGAAGAAGCTCTTGGTGCGCAGGTAGCTGACGCTGAGCCTCAGGATGGACAGCTTGTCCAGGCTCGATATAACATCTTCGGGGAAGGGCAAGAGGCTGGCGAGCTGGTCCAACTCCGAGTTCAGGCGGTCACGGTGGCGTTTGGATGGGTTGGATTTGGCGCCTTCGATGGGGGGCGGTTTGACTCTGGAAATCAAGACATTTTTACAGTTTTCCTGGATCCATCTCTGTCTCTCTCTGGCTTATGGGAGCATTATTGAGGCTTCCCACGCTCTTTTTCATTTTACATTTCGTAACATAGACACTAGGGGTGCAACGATACACAAAATTCACGGTTCGGTTCGGTTCGATACTTTGGTGTCACGGTTCGATATTTTTTCGATACAAAAAATGTTCATGCCTTTTTAATTTGTCATTTATTAAAATTATAAATATATATTTTAACTCAAAAGTACAG